TGATAAACGGGATGGAAGATGGGGTGCTAAATGAAGGTCATAAACCATAAAAACGGCACTTAGAACAGGTAAAGGTGAGCACGCTTCACTATACCCAATGGATACGACACCCTTAATCGACATTAGGGAAAACCAGAGCACAGAATGGTGTGAACAGGTAAATGGGCCACATGAAGTGGGTTTGAAAGAAGGATATAGAGCACTAGAGGCTAGGAAAAAAGATAAGGACGAGGAGAGATGCCACAACGGTTGAACGCAAAATTTATCAAGGGGATTACCTTCACTTGTCACTTTCAAAAGTTGCAATTCAATTATAACGATTCTGCCTCTCACTGACGATGTAAGCGAAACGTTTGGGAATGTACCAAGCCAATGGTCCGATGCTGGAAATTACGAATATTATGGAGAGCACACAAGACTAGGTACGTTCCACAAGGTCTCCCTAATGCCTCTAGTAAGTTGTGAGAACAAGTTCATTCATAATTACCTTCCACAAGTAAATAAAAAACGGAAAAATTTGTTATAATGTAGTTTAGACATGAAATAATTAAAGTGGTTTGACATCATTTTTAGAAGTTGGTCGTATTATCAGAGACCTAGATGAACAGACCTGTCCCGGAATCCTCTGCCATAGTGTCCATGAAAATGTCAAATGTCGGACTCTATATTTGTTACATTCCAAAAAGCTTCGCCTGCATCATAATCAGTTTCGTCAGTGAGATTTGGCACTCTTAGTACAATACTACAACTAGTCAATTTTTTTTACCAGGTGTCTGTTGAAAAGTTGTGGTAGTTATCACGTTCCGAGCAATCCAGTCTGCCCACCTCAGCATGCTGCATCGGCAAATAATTAAAGTGTATTGTCTACTTCGTGATCAACTGGATAACCCATTTTCTTAATAATGGTAGCAATTTTCGAATTAGTTCACAGAAGGCCAGACATATCCACATATAGTCGTCTTCCTGATTTTATTGTCGTGACATCCAAATTACCATCTGCGCTTTGTGACCCCTATCTTTCTTTATATAATTGCTCTGGGATACCCGTTAATATCGATAATTAAAGTCAGTTTGTCCAACTCTTCGTCCCAGAACTCCATGTTCGATAATCTTATGCCCTTGATGATGAAATTCCTCATTACTCTGATCTTAAGTCTAAAAATGTGACGAGACTGTGACTTAAAGATTATTCCCCCATGTGATTTAATTCTTAATAGTCTAATTTTACTGTCGTGGTGGAGCGAATGACTCAAACATCCAGAAAAATTGGCCCCTCGTCCTCCTCCATCTCTATGAATTTAGATTCTAGTCAAATTAGTTCATAAAGTTCAGGAACTCTTATACATTTCCTTAGCATGCGAGCAAAGTGTAAATTAGTGCTCCAGTTAGAACATAAGCACTCTTGGTTGAAGTGGTAATTTCTCGAATTATTTATATAATTTATCCATGTATACATTTTTTAACAACGGAGAAAATAACAAGTTCACAGTTTGACGCTGGAAATTATCATGGATAATATTGCAGAGGACTCTGAAAAATGTAAATCCACTTAAGCCTCTGATAATACGAGCAAGTTGCAAAAATGAGGTCAAACCAACTTTATATCATAAAAGGGGACTGCGACCATATTATAAGCCACGCCATCTTGATCTTTATCCCCTCGGGAAAAATAATTTACTCTGAGATAATATATTGCAAAAATTAATTGGAATTAAAAACTTACGTAATAGTATTAAGACATTGGAGCAACGTTTTCGTGGTTTCCATGCTGGCTGGGCGACTCAATTCTGGTTCCAAATGTGCCCGAGCCTGTACTAACTGCCTAGCTGTTTGCAGAATAGATGTAAATTCAGGAGGAAGGCTAGTTAAGTGAGCTGCGGTAAGAGTGTCTGCTAACCGAACCAGCAAGAAGGCGAGAAGAGTAGTGGCGAGTGGTGTACTAAGTGACCAAGTCAAACTACCCAAGGCTTGAATTGCTCGTTTACGAAGGGGTGCCCGAGGGTGGCTCAGGCATATTAGTAAATTATCTAAGAGTTCGCCAGATTCGTTTGAAAGATGGGGACCAACGCTGAATAGTAGGGGAAAAAAATCAAAAAATAATGGAAAGTAAATAAGGTAATAGACAAGTTTC